TGGGGGGGGGGGGGTTGAAGCGGCCTTGGTCACAGGCCCTGCGCAGGTGTTGGCTCCGTCGGACCTCCCTGACTAGTGACGCTGCGCAGCCCTGCACAGCCCCTCCTCCCGCCTGCACCCTTTACCAGGATCCCCACCCCCCACCTCAGGCCCCGGCTGCAATCCCACTCACCGGACAGCATGCCCCCCGTGACCGCGTAGCGGAAGAACTCCGCGGCCTTGCACACGTGGCGGCAGACCCGGGAGGGGCAGGACACGATCTTGGGCGCGGGGTGCGCGGCCGGCGCGCGCGCGCCGCCGCACGCCAGCTCGCGCACGCGCAGCTGCGCGCCGCCGTGCGCGTCCAGGCGCAGCGAGGCGCCCAGCAGCGCCAGGCAGATGTACCGCGGGGGGCGGCGGTCACCGCCGTCCATGGTGTCGTCGGGGGCGGCCGTCGGGGCAGGCGAGGTCGCGCCGCCGGGGCCGGCGGCCGCCGCGCCGAGACGGGCGGAGGCCACCTCCAGCGCCACGCCCAGCTTGGCGCAGGTGAGCGACAGGCGCAGGTCCACACCGGCGGCCGGGCCGGCTGTGGGGGTCGTCGTCTCCAGCAGCGAGGGCTGGCCCCGGGGGGGGGAGGGGGGGGTGACGGTGGGCTTCACACGAAATAATCGCGACCATCAGGCTGGCACGCAGAGACACTGTGCCCCGTGGATGCGGCGCAGGGTTCAGTTTCTGATGCCCAGAGCCACAGCACCGCGCAAGAGGCCAGGGGCGCAGCGGCGGGCCAAGCGGGGGTTGAAACGCTGCACTGGCTCCAAGATCGTGCAGGCCATGCTGCTCAACATCCCACCAGCAGAACGCTCCCATGCATGTCCTCCCAGCCTCACCTGGTCCCCATGCAGGAGCAGGGTCTCCAGCCCCGGGTCCAGCTGCCCACGGTGCAGCACTGCGCACCGGGAGACGGGCATCAAGATGATTGTGGGGAGGGACGGCGGACTCGTACTGATTCATCTGGCCAGTACAACCCCTTGATCTCACCCCCAACCCCCCACGCCGGTGGTTTACGCTGCGCGTCAGGTGACTGCACTCCGGCGCCACTTTCACTCCGTCCACCCACCACCCCTCGCCGCACCTATGCCGTCCACTTTATCTGCGATGAACCGGAGGAGGGCGGGGTCGGAGGCCAGGCGCGCGTTGTGCGTGGCGGCCAGGGCGAGGCGAAAGTGGGCCACCTGCTCCAGCGTCAGCGCCGCCTCGATCGCCTCCAGGCGCTCGTACGCCTCACGCCGCGGGCCGGCGGCGAGTCCGGGGCGCTGCGCTTCCACGCTGGCCGGCGACAGATGGCCCACGCCGTGGCCGCCCGCGTCGACCGCGGCGCCGCCACGGCCCGCCACCCCCGGCCCCCTCTCCGCCACCCGCGCCCCCAGGCGCTGCCACCAGCGGCGCCGCGGCGCGCGGAACAGGGGCCGCCCCGCGCAGGCGGCCGCGTAGGCGCGCGCGTGGAGCAGGCGCGCGCGCCGCCGCGCGGCGACGTCGGCCAGCGAGGCCTGGCGCCGGCTGAGCTCCGCGCAGCCGGCGACGAGCAGGTCGCCGGCGTGGCGCCACCACTCGGCCGCGTGGCCCGGGATCGGGTGGGCCGGGCGCGCCGCCCCAGTAGGCCTCGTACCGCGAGACGTACAGCGCGCGCTCCACCAGCCGGCTCAGCACCGCGATGGAGGCGGCGTCGAACTCGGGGACAAAGGCCTTGAGCGTCACGCGCACCTCCACGCGGGGGGCGGCGGGGGCGGGACGCGGCGCGCGCCGGGGCCCCCCACCCCGACCGCGCGTACGGCGGGCGCGGTGGGGGGCCATCTGGGTCGCTCTCGCCTCCCCCCGCGCCTTCCTGCCCCCGCGCCGCCGTCTCGGCGTCGGCCACGGCGGCAAAGGGCGAGGCGCGGCCCGGGAACTCGGCCACAGGGCTGGTCCCCGACGGGTCCGCGGCCGAGGATATCCCATTGCCATTCTCCCGCCTCGCGGCGGGCTTGCGGTCGGAGTCGAAGACCAGGGTCACCGGCTCCGGCAGCGCCGAGCCGCGCGCCAGGTGCTGCGCCGCCGCGCCGGAGCCCTCCCAGGCCGGCGTGGCCCCCCCCGCCCCCCACCCTCGGGCGGTTCGCCGCCGCCCTGCGTGGCGAACAGGCCCTGCGCCAGCTCCTCGGGCCCCGCGGGCGCGTCTTCCTCCTCGAGTTCCTGGTCCAGGGTGTCGGAGGCCTGGCGCCCAAACCGGCTGGACTCGGTGGCGCTGGCGGGCGAGCGCTGGGCGGGGGAGGGGGCCTGGAGGCCAGTCACCGTCTCGTGGCCGGCGCCGCCGTGCGGGCGCAGCTCCACGCCCACCGCCAGCTCCCACTGCTGGAAGACGCGGTGGGTCTCCGGCACCAGCGAGGCCAGGGCCGCCTCCACGCCCGCGCCGCTGGCGCCCACGGCGCCGGGCAGCGCCCCCGCGCCCGACGCGCGCCAGGTGGCAGGCCAGGTGTGCAGGTCCAGGGACACGCCCTGTACCGCCAGCCGCGCGGCCACGGGGCGGGGCGCGGCCACGAACCACAGCGCGCCCAGCGCGGAGCGCGCGGCGCGGAAGGCGGACCGCGCGACCTCCGCCGGCGCGCGGCCGGTCAGAGGGTCTGCGGCCGCCCCCGCGTCGTGCCAGGGGCCCATGCCGTCCTCGCCGCCACGGCGCTCCTCCCCGCCGGCGGCCCCCTCGTCACCGACAGCCACCCCCGCTCCGGGCCCCGGGTCCAGGGGTAGCACGCTCAGGCTGCGCAGGCACAGCGTGGCGCCGTCGCAGCCCTCCAGGTGCGACCCGGGCGCGGGGCGGGGCCCGGGGCTCGCCGGCCTGCACGTACCGCACGCGTACCTCGCGCACGCTGACCTGGACGCTGCGCGCCAGCAGCGCGGCGCCGCGCTGCAGCGTGGCGGCCTGCGCGCGCGCGGCCAGGCCCCGCGTCAGCCGCGACAGCGGGCCCAGCAGCCAGAAGGGCGCGGCCGGCGCGGGGCGCGGCGCCTCGCCCCACAGCAGCCGGTCCACAACCTGGAGCCGGCGCCGGCGGTCGCGGGCCAGGGCCGACGCGCGCTCTTCGGCCATCTGCGCCGCGCCGCGGGCCTGGGGAGAAAGGAGGGAGAGAGGGGTCGGGGTGCAGGAGGAGGGAAGCGGCGTCATCAGGCGTGACATCAGATGGAGAAGACGGCGCTGGCGAGGGGAGACACCAACACAGCTTGTGAGGCAGGCAGCGGGGGCTGCAGATCACGAGGGGCATAACACTAGGTCCAGCCCCAGCAGGAATCCATGATGACCCAGGCGTACAGTGCTGCTGCACGGGGGAGCTTCAGGCAGCGCGGCCGCTGAATGCGTCCCGCCCGCCCTCCCCATTCCTTCCCCCCCTCCTACACACACACCTCGGGCATGCGCAGCTGGCGCAGCTCCACGCTGATCCCGCGGGCGACGACGCGAAGGGGGCGGGTGAAGGAGGGCAGGTCCAGCTCCAGGTGGCGCAGCTCCGCGCTGTGCAGCTCCGTCCCCGCGGCCGACAGGCCCCCCAGCGCCGCGCCGGACAGGTGTAGGCCAGAGAGCCGGACCCCTGTGGATTGCAAGGATTTGGGGAGGAGGCAGGGTGACGAGCCTGAGCAGGCCTGACCAACAGAAGGCCCGGAGGCCCATGCAAGCCCATGCCACCCTCTCAGAGGCCTGGCTAGTCTTAACATCAAGCCCTGACATGCCCATCCGGTAGGAACAGGGCCGCATCACCCTGACAGGCTGCCCACCTGTGGCTGTGGGGACCACATCCAGCTTGGGCTGCTGGGGCTCCCCCGTGTCCAGCAGATTACGCAGCAGGCGGTCCACCACCCCCGCTGCGATGCGGGAGCGCACGTGGAAGCGACCCGAGAAGAGCCAGAAGGCGAGGGTGGACAGGAGCAGGCTGCTCAGCAGCCATAGGAGGGTGAGTAGCATGGCACTCTGCGCTGGCTACACTCCCGTCAACAGCAAGAACCCCGCATGCAGCCCGGGGCATGCCCGGAATGAAACTATACAGAGCATCGTATCTGGTACAAGGGAATGAATGTAGGAGATGAGGCTGTGCAGACCGGGGTTGCAGTGGGGTACTCCCCGTCCCGTCCGTTCGTGCGCCGAAAGCTAGAGGGTCGTTCTGGACCCCTTCCTGCCCGAACAGCGCGGCCGATGTTTTGCTGTCTTGCTGCTCGAATGTATTGATGTATGGAGAGGGTTCGTACAGGTGTCTAGCAAGGCCTGGCGATGAATTGCTATGTACGCCATTCGGATGGGAGCGGGACTTAAATCTGATCGGGGGCGCAGTCCCTCACCAATTCGACGTGCCCTCCCCGAAGGAACCTGTATGTGCGTTCATAACGAGTCAGCAAGGAGCGTATGCAGTCTGATAATTGGGCGATTAAAAACTGAGTAATAATCTCGTGATCATGAGTGCGGCTGGACCGGTCACCACCGCCATCGCCCTCGACACCGAGTTCGCCAATCGAAAGATCTGGCTGGTCAAGGTACAGCGAGGTGGGAGTCCACCGAGCGGGTGTCGAAACAATGTGCCCGCCAGTCACTCCAACCCCTATCCACCCCAACCCCCCTCAAGGTCCCAAACTTTGTGGCGGAGCGGTGGAGGGCCGTGTGCCAGACCAATGCCCATGACGGTGGGGACCCCGTCGGCCCCGAGCTGGGCCAGATATCGGTGGACAAGCCTGCTGCCGGTGCCAAGGAGGCCAGCATGCACCTGAGCCTCACCCATTCCGACACGGAGGGCCTCCCAAAGACCTTCCTCATGAACGTCGCCACTCAAAACATGGCCAGCATGGCTGCCTTTGCCCAGACCGGGCCCTGCAGCGTCTCCGCCGTGGGCAGGGTGTTTCAGAAGTTTGACGTGGTCGTGGAGCGGGGCGCTGCGGGGGCTTCCACCTCCGGAGTGGACGGGGTGATAGACCCAGAGTACCGCCAGCTGTCACGCATGCGCGCCAAGGCTGCGGCCACAAAATCGCGAACGACGCAGCTCATCAGCCAGCCGCAGTTTACCAACCTTCGGCACCCCATGCACATCGGAACCACAAAGAAGAGGGTGCGCAGGGTTGATGTTATTGTTGGCTGGGTCATGATTGGAGGGAGGCCTGCTCGGTGGCGAGGTTCTGCTGCAGGGTACTGGCTGCAAGGAGGCTGGCTCTGCCATATGATGGCGTTAGCACAGACACCCTTCAATGGGCCCTGGGCAACACTGGTGAGGCTGCCTGCAATGCGGAACAGCTTTGATCAGCGATGTCCCATGTGCTTCATTAGGACCCGACGGAGAAGCGACTGGCCAAGCCGGCAGAGGAGCTGACTGCCGACCTCTTCCGGCTCTTTGAACGGCAACCGCACTGGATATTCGCCCAGCTACAGCGCCAGACAGAGCAGCCGACGCAGCACCTCAAGGTGTGCTGGGGGAGCGCATGGTGAAGGGGCGGGCAATGGGGTATCAATGCTGGCAGGCTTGCACAGAAAATGCCGCTGCGCACCGATTCCATCGCGCTCAAGGTTGCAGAGGGGCGTACACAAGATGCAATACCCACTGCATCTCACATTGTGCCCTGCAGGCTGTTCTGCTGGAGATTGCCGTGCAGAACAAGAGGGGACCCTACAAGGACATGTGGGAGCTGAAGAAGGGGTATCGACTCACCGGTGATGCGTGAGTGCATCTTCTGTTCTTGTGAGAGAGTGCACCCATCACCACTCGGAGAAGCATGGACCACCACAGGCCCGACAGATCTGAATCACTGCTGTTGACACGGGCTTGGCGCCCGCGCGCTGGGTAGGGTTGTGCCGAGAATCGGGGCAGGCGCATTTGCCGGTATACGAGAGCGGCTGGGTCCACGTGGTAAACCCACGGCGGTAGAGCGCGAATACGTCGCACATCTCTGCTACAAGTCCCACGCTGTGTGCGGTCTGGGCATCACTCACATCGCCCTTCCCCGTCCGCCCATAGACCAAGGTGCGAAACCTTGACAAACCCTCGCGCCCCTCGGCTGGCCATGCCTGGCTCGCATCCCTACATCTGACCCATGTCAAGCCCAATCCTCCCAGGCCCAGATTCCCTCCCTCGGCGCAGGTCGGCCATGCCACCCCCCGGGGCCTGCAGGCCCACTTACGTAAGGCCCTGATGTCTGGGACCCCCCCACACCCCTCGCCCCCCGGCGTGGTGCGCACCCGGGCGACCCTGGACCCGGGCGGGGGCCATGAAGGGTTCAATCCCCGCGCCATCGCCATCGGGGCCAGCGTGGAGTCCCTGTCCTACAGCGTGGACCTCAACCGCGTGGGCCTGCGGGCGATGCGGCGCGACGCCGGCGCGCCGCGCCACCTCTACGGCTACTCGGGCCGGACCCTGATCAAGCTGCTCACCACCGTCACCTCGGGCGTGCTCATCGGCCTCACCGCCGTCGCGCTGGGCGAGTCCATCGAGAGCCTGGTCCTGCTCCGCAACGGTGCGCTGAAAGCGCTGCTGCCGGAGCACGGCGCCCGGGGCGCCGGCGCCTTGCGCGCCGTGCTCCCGGCCCTGGGCCTGCAGCTGGTCGTGTCCGTCGCCGCGGCGGTAGGCGCCGCGGCCCTGGTGCAGCTGGTGGCCCCCAAGGCCGCCGGCGCGGGGGTCACGCTGGTCATGGCCCACCTGAACGGCAATGACATCCCCGACGCCCTCACCGCCCGCACCTACGTCGTCAAGTTCCTGGGCAACGTGGCCGCACGCGTGGCGGGCCTGGCCCTGGGGCCGGAGGGGCCCATGATCCACCTGGGCGCCTGCGTCGCCTCCTGCCTCTGTGCCGCTGAAGACCGTACGCTGAGGGGGGGAGCGGGCTGGGATCCACGAAGCAGGATGGTGCTGTTCCCAGCAATGCTCCTCCAGACCTGGCCGGAAGTCATTGTTGGAGCAGTCTGGCCGTCCCCCCAGGCGTCAAGGGCGGCTGCCACCCCACGTCAACACGCCCCTCCCCAGTCAACACAACAGACACTTACACCTCTTCCCCCACAGGCTTCTGGACGCACGCGTCGCGCCCCTCCGTCACCCGCTCCCGAGCCGGGAGCCTGGCCCTGGAGGCCCCCGCGTCGCCCGGGGACCGCGGCGGCGGGCAGAGCTCGCAGGAGGGCATTGGCGTGCCGAGCGGCGCGCCCGGGCCAAACGGGTACGAGCCCCTGCCGGCCGAGGCCACCCCGCGGCGCTCCTCGCCGCTGCCCCCGCCCCCCCGCGCCGGGGTCGAGGGAAGCGTCAGCTGCGACCCGAGCGCACACGGCAGCGCCGGCACGCATTGCACCCCCCGCGCCGCCAGCCTGCCGCGCCTGTCCTCGCTGCTGGCACAGCGCCGCCGCCCGCACGGCGTGCCCTTCTTCAGCAACGCGGACCACCGCGAGATGGTGTCCGCCGGCGCGGCGGCGGGGCTGGCGGCGGCCTTCGGCGCGCCCATCGGCGGCGTGCTCTTCTCGCTGGAGGAGGCCTGCTCCCACTGGTCACGCAACATCGGCTGGCGCTGCTTCCTGGCCGCCACGGTGGCCTCCTTCACCCTCTCCCAGCTCCACCCCCGTGGCCGCTCCGGCATCCTGGGCTTCGGCTCCATCTCCGCGCCAGACAACCGCCAGTGGCTGCTCCAGCTCCCCTTCATCGTCCTCGTCTCGGCCCTGGGCGGGCTCATGGGCGCGCTGTTCAACACCGCGCGTGGCTGGCTGGCGGGGTCGCGGCTTAAGGCCCCGCGCGGCGCTACGCCGGAGCGCTTGCTGGAGGCGGGCCTGGTGGCGGCCGCCACCACGCTCGCCACCTTTGCAGTCAGCAGCCTGTGGGGCACGTGCGTTGTTGATTCATCCTTTCTTTTTCGAGGGGGGGGGAGGGGGAGCGCTGGGGTCCAGGGTCGTTTTGTGTGTGTACCCCGGGGGAGGGGGGGGGGAGGGGGAGGGGGCGGAAGTCGTCCCAAAGCAGGCTTGGTGAGGCCGGTCTGGCGA